GTCGACCGCAGATCAATTAAATCTGTGAATTTCTGCGGCGAGCGTAGAAAAACTACGCTCGCCTTGCGGCCTCCGTACGGCGTATGCAGATTTTTACAGGCCGCAGGGAGGGCGTAGAAATCATAACTCGGAGTTATAATATTTGTTCATTTCTGAGGTCCCCGTAGAAATCAACTGGCTCAACAAGATTGAATCATTATTTGTCAATGTTTCACGATCACTTTTCATTTGATATTACATCCTAGCACTATGAATAATATTTATAAATTGTCCCGATGTAAATAAAATTAAAAAAAGTATTATTTATCAATAGAAATTTAAAATTCGCCGTGCGGCTGCCGTGGGAAATGTGACTGCAAAAGTATGAGAGCGCAGAAATTCTGCGGCGAGCGTAGAAAAGCTACTGGCCGCAGAAATGATAGACCGCAAGGTCGCCGTAGGAAATGTGACTGGGGTGTTACATACACAAGAGAAAATGTTTATCAGTTCTATGTTCTATATTTTATTTGGTCTACAAGTCCTTTTTATTTATCATGCTCTGGGACTTATAACATCTAATGTCGAGTCTTTTCCAACTGCAAAGGAAGGATTTTAATAATGAACATTCATATATCTCAACAAATATGGCCTAAGATTTGGACAATGATGAGGAAACTCTGAGGGAAAATTAGGCGAAACAATTAATGTGAGTGGTCCAAAAATAACACTTACATGTTTTGGAAAAGTTATGCTCCCTGGTGAATCAGTGCTCATTTAAGGAAAATCTGAGTCAGGTGGATTTTTTAACCTAATTGTACCCCTCCCCAAACCCCGAAATTTTTTGACAATTGTCGAAAAGTGGCAAACAAGATTCAGTAAAGTTCAATGTGGCTATTTCGCTTCTATGGCATAAAGGTCAATCAATAAATTTCACAAGTGACACTCTATCTTATGCAGAAAATACAATTTCAGACAGTCATATATTTGATTATGACTATTTTCTGTTATTATCTTTAAAGTCTCTGGAGCAATCCACTTTTCCTCTAAGGAAATAAAACATGTCTCAAAGCATATTCTAATTATGCGTTAAACAATATGATTAAAGGTTGCATTTTTGGTAAAAATTAGGTCAACATTTTGAGTAAAAAGTATGCTGATTGGTCCATTCCCTTTAATATCACTTAGGTCTGATTAACTTCATTATCATTATATTTACTTTTCTTGAAGATAATGAATTGATCTAAAAGATATACCCATGTTCATGGTCAGAAAATATTCATAATTCAAGTTAGAATTGTCTGAAATTGTTGCGATATAGTATCAAATGCTTTAGTCATGACAATTGAAGTAAACTGATGTCTTGGTATTTAAAGGCAGAATCAGATCTATAGAGTAAACAAAATTGAAAGCAACATGTACAGTTGTACCCTTGGCCTATGATAGTACTTAACCTCCGCCTATGATGTGCAGTAAAGCTGTGGCCTTTTGGAGTTTTAGCCATGTTAATTTTTTCGAAAATAACATGGCAGAGAAGCATCAAAATATAAGAGGCCACAGATATGATAGCTAAACTACAACACAAACTAAAATATACAAAAATTAAGACATGTATAAATGTTTCTATTTTTACATATACTGTTTCAATATGGTCCTTTGATTGCTTATTTTTTAAATTCAAAGTAGTTCCAAACATTTAAAAAATTTCTGTACAGTACAGTGCTCACCATAAATGACACCTGGATTTGCTGAAGTGAGGATTTCCCATGTTAAAAAGCCTACACATATGGATAATCGTTTATGAACATGTTGAAAACATATTCCAGCACCGAATGCATTACTCTATATTCATTCTCACCTTATGCTATCTGATTTGTTTGACACATTTTCGTCACCTGGCTCGTCCAGTGGCGAACGAGACGCCATATTTATCGGGATCCAGGAAAAACACAACTCGGGTCACTGACTTGCTGGAACGAAATTCTGAACACAGGATATTGATTACCCGGGGTGATTATGATACATGTACTAAACTAAAGTCCTATATTCCTGTAATAGATGTATTAGAATGTCACCTTACATTTAATGATGTTTTGAATGCATTGATTTGGTGTCTATCAATACATGTTTCTACTTTAATGCTGCAAAAGGATAAAATTGACCACATCCACTTTCTTCAATATGCTAGGGGTAGGGCACTATTAAGTCATATTAAAATTACAAAATAGTACTTCATAACTAAAATAGATGTATTACAATATCGCACATAGCTTGGAAATGTTTTTACAATACTACTTTGAGCTGTTAAAGCTGTCATATTTTGCTTGAAGCTTCAAATATAATATTGGCAAGACAAACAAAAATTGTGTATTTTTTCCTAATTATTGTATTTTTCTGAGACCAATAGGGGTATCAACCTATACCTTAAGGATAGTATTCATATTTGTACTAGCAATGCATGGTGCAGAAATCAGAACAACATCTCATATATCCTTTGAGTTATGAACTAGTTTCATAGTACCCCCTAGAATATTTTCCTAGGGGGGTAAAAATGCCAAAATTCAGTGTAAGGCCATCCTGTTGAGCTGTCATCTTTTAATATCTTTATCAGCATGAAAAACTGATCTAGCAAAAATAGGTCTGTTGCTTTTTCTAAAAAATGCCTTAAAAATTGTTGGTGGTAATTGTCAGTGAATTAAACCTTATAGAGAGATTTCGCACCTAGTGAAAGTACAACTTATAACGTATACTTATACTTATAGGTAAACGTACAAGGTGTTTCATAATGTGAGCTTTTCGTCAGGAAAGATCTTCTCGGACTGTAATAAATACATGTCAAAGGGATGCCATTTGTACTTTCTTGAATTGTAGCATGTTTAGTTGATCCAAATGTGTTTGTCTAGAATAAAATAGGCTCATATATAGTACATACGGTATGTTATAGACCCATCTCTTCTCAAATTGACTTTTTGGAGATGCTCGTTATGAAACACCCTGTATGTCATATGTTGAGCTACTGAATGGGTCGTTTCCAGGAATTGCTAGAACCTACTGGTTTGATTGGTGTTTCAAATTGATGGTTAAAGTATTTGATTGGATACTGTTCCCACTCAGCCAATTAATTTTAAAAAATGCTTGCGGTCAATTGTTCCACACACAAGTAGGCAAATCTTTATACGGAGATCCAACTGTATACGTTATCATCTACGTAAATATACCGTTTTGTAAGTTCATTGAACTTATACTGATCATGAAAACATTGAAATAATCAACTTGTTTATGTAATGACTCACTTTAAAGAATCGTGACTCCCTTTAAAGGATCGTGTTTATAATACACTACAACTACAAGGACACGGAAGCAAGCATTTAATTATAATGTGCATAATCTACACGTGCAGATGACAGTGCATTCATAGTCTCTAGTTGATGGAGCTTTTCTATAACGGGAATAGTTATGTTCAATTAAGTACAATTTAAAATTGATTTTAGTAAATATAATAGTTCGACATGACCCTTTAAACTATACGTATACGTATAAGTTGTACTTTCACTTATGTGCGAAATCTCTCTAATATCACTTGAAAAATAACGATGAAGATACAATTCTATATTTGCGGCATCCTTAATTTGCAATTTTACACTCAGTGTTTTAAAGGGTTTTACAGTACTGTCCAAATCAAGATTCGATGTTATATTTGTAAACATTACATGTGCTAATGTCTTTTTCATCAGTAGAAAGGTTATTTATAGACATCCAATACAGCATTCCTAATCAGTGATTGGATTGCTCTTCGGAAAGGACACATTTTACTTTCGTAGTTCCTATGTAAGTCTTAGTTACTTCAGTAAAGATATTTTATATAAAGTTCATCTGAAAATATATTCCAGTGTGTTTCTCTTTAATATTGTTGGTAAATGCACTGTTTTGACAGAGTTTTTCTTTTCCCGAAGAGCTCCTTGGAAAGGTTTTTTTTCTTGTGTCGGCATTTTCAAATTGATTTTACAATAAAAAACGGTTGTTTTAAAATAGCTTTTAGTATATCATATGACAGTCTTAAAATACACATGCTCTTCGGAAAATAACATTTGCGTGTCGAAAAATCGGTTAGTTATTTTGAGAGCCAATATCTCGGGCTTAAAATACACATGCTCTTCGGAAAATAACATTTGCGTGTCGAAAAATCGGTTAGTTATTTTCAGAGCCAATATCTCAGGAACAGCTACAGCTTTTTCTATAATTTTAGTGACAGAATTTTAACATTCAGTTCTATTGATATCATCTTAAAAAACAGTTAGCAAAGATTGGAAAATATGTCTTTTTTAAGATAAAATTTACATTGAAATGTTACACCAACGGTTGTGTGCTACAAGCGGTTATAAAAACTCTATATACTATTATGGACACACTTGTAGCATATCATTTTAAAGCGAATTCCTTAATCTTTTCTATGCAGCCAACTTACTTTAACTTACTCTATTCAAGTACATGCTTGAAGTATATATTTAAATGTGGATTTTTCTCGGGAATTTGTTACATAGAGAATAAGGCATATTTTGATGAAAATTTATAAAAAAAATAGTATTCATCTTTCAAAAATGGTATCTTCCTCAGATATATAGTGGATATACCTAATTAATAAGACTGATTTCCCATCTGTATCTTAAACCTTGCATTTTTTTCTGGGTGCCAATATGAAAGTGCTACCAATAGCTTGCTCAAGCCTATAGACAATGCACGTAACATATATTTCTTGCAACTGGCTCTGAGGGAGTGAATTAAACACAAGACTTTATGAGTTTTATGGTGTGTATACAAGACACAAGTCATATTTATAGTTTTTCCTTATTATCCATGCTGAGCACTCTGTTGAAGCATTGCTAATTGTATTCTGATTGGATGGAAATTAATAAAGAATGCTTTATGTATAGATAAAGAAATTGATGTGATTGTAAAATAGAACTTGAAATCAAATGGACCACCAATGAGAATTAAAAAGAAATTAGACAAAAATATTGACTTACGTATGCAGAGCAGAACATATTAGACCATCATTAAGCTCTTCAAGGAGGCCTACATCAAGGACCTCCACCATGTTGACAAATGCTCTAGGAACCTCGGCATGTAATATATCTAGTGCCTCTTGTATATAGTTGATGTAGTTTGTAGCACTGTATGTGTCCTAAAAGGAATTAATTACTATGATTTTGGTCCAGAGAAGGGGCTACCTGACTACAGTACTTCACTGTGAGTATCATGCATTTTTGATAACTTTGAAAACGTTGACCCATTTTTCTCAATTTCCTCATATTGGGAGTGAATTTTTTACTTAGTTCCACAAAATCAACAATCATTACCATGACAATTGGCTAGGCTCAAAGAGCACCATCAGCCAAGTAACAAATAATCAAAATAACAAATATTATGGCTGCGCACTTTTCAAGAAATACTGCACTAGACTATATCAATAAACATGACCTTAAACTGACCCATACTATTCAGTTTATCCTGAGACGCACTTCTGGCACTCGATCAACTGTTCTTTTTCTAAAGGCATCGTACATGTGGTTGTGGGGGGGGGACTGAGGTGGAGATGGGGTTCAGTGGTGTGTAGACATTTTGTAATTTTTTTTTCATTATTTTACGTTGTAATATGGATAATACTCCCATTAGGGGGTCTTCCATCTTATTTGATGTATATGATTTTATTATAAACTGAAATAAAACACAATAACATAACATAACATAACACTGAGACTGAGTATGTTAATGTTAACACGTCTTGTAAATGATAGTGTACCATATAAGAAACGTTTCCAATTTAATTTTGACTTTATTAGATAACCAAAGTTTAAGTGACTAAATTGTGCTAAAATACCTAGGAATCTATATTGAAGTAGTTATCTTAAGTGTACAGGCAAAAGATTGAGACGTTCTCAGTCATGGCACGGGATAAATGCGTATGCATATTTTCATTGACCTTTTAACTAAAATAGATGAGACAGCCACTAATGATTGGCTGTAATTGTGACTAGTGTTTTTATCATTTTGTTGCGATAGACCCTCGTATTTGTTTAGTCAGGAATACGTTAAAAATGTTTAAAAAGTCCCCTAGTGTACTAAGTTGGTAATGCGTGGTGTATACATGTATATTATACTGACTTTACTATATATATTACTTACATTGAATAAGAATAAGACTGATTTTTTATTAATGACTATATACCCGGGCCTCAGGTAGCAGTACATTGGATTAACTCATATATTAAATAGGGGTGTTAGCATATACAGGGTGGTCCAAAAATGGGACACTCGTATTTCAAAAATAAATATTGATTTTCTTGATGAAAACATGTCATGTTATATACCAGTAGATAGGGAATTTACTTATCTTTAATTTGGTATATCATAAGTTCAAGTTTATTGTAATGTCTGTCAACCAGCGTCCGTTATATGAATGACGTCATCTTAGTTTCAAACGGGTTTTCAAAAACTTGCAGAAAAGTTTTTCGTCAACTTTATTTGCACAAACAGATGTTCAATATGTCCACCATTTTGATCAATTATAGCCCTCAATTTTGGTCTAAACTGGTCAAAAACATCATTGAAATTCTGTTAAGACAATGAATTCCACTTCTCAACAAGTCTATCCTTAATAAGGGACTGAGTAGATGTAAGGGGTTCATGGTAAACCAAGCAATTCTGTAGGTTCTCCCAATACGTGGAAGTCGCAGATGTTGACATCGCATTATCCAATTATGTTGTTCTTACACCATCCTGATATGAGCTTATTCTCGAATCATTACATTTTCCAACAAGATGGAGCTCCAAGCAATAGATCTCACAAGAGTGTCAAATGTTTAAAGGAAAATGTGCCTAGATTCATCCCCCTAATCGCTGACTCCCCCAGACCAGATCACACGATCACCCAACGTCTGTGACTACCACGTATGGGGAGAACTAACAGAACTTGTGTACCATGAATCCTTTACATCTATTCAGTCTCTTGAGGACAGAATTGAATTAATGAGAAGTGCAATTCATTGTCTTAACAGCATATCAATAATGCTATTGGCTAGTTTAGGCCAAAATTGAGGGGTACAATTGATCAAAATGGTGGACATACTGAACGTCTGTTTATGTAAATAAAGATGACAATAAAACTTGTTTTTGCAAGTTTTGGAAAACCCGTTTTGAAATGAAAATGACGTCATTTATATTATGGACGCTGGCTGACAGACATTATAATAGATTTAAACTTATAATATACCAAATTAAAGATCAGTAAATTCCCTATCCACTGGTATATAATATGACATGTTTTCGTCAAGAAAATCAATATTTATTTTTGAAATACGAGTGACCCATTTTTTGGACCACCCTGTATTTGAAAATGGCTATGGCAATCATTTGTCATAATTTATTTATCTTAGGAAATATATGCTATTTTCCCGGGGCTAGTTTACCCACAAGCGATTTATTTTGAGCCAGTTAAATGCATGCACAACTATTCGACAGATATACTACTTTCAAATTAAGAAGTTCAACACAAATAAACATACTTTTGCTTTTTAGTCATGTATTCATGGAACAAAATTCACGTTGCTGCCAACATGAAAAGCTAGAGTTTCGCGTCTCAATGGCCGTATAAAATGATTGAAATCGTAAAAAAGTACTACCATGTTACGTAATCTCAACCTCACTCACAATCTCTCGTGTTACAGGTTCAACGCAAGACCGAATCCTAACTGACCCTATTAAAATTGAATCTACACGTCGACGGGATATCCTATAAAACAAGTATAACTTAGGAGTTTACATAATTTGTTGCGCGCGCAACGCACTTCACGTTCACGTTTAGGTTTTCGTCGTCAAAAAGGTGATTCTCCAGTTGCTCGGGGTTCTACTGAAAATGTAAAAGTCATGGAATTTGACCTTCTCAACCGTGAACACATACATCAGGGTCCAAGAATATATGAGGTGCTTGTCTGAAAAGTGGGCAGCGAATTTTTAATTAGCTATTGAAGTGGCACCTTCTTTCCAATTTCAGACATAGCTTCAAATGATATTTTTATGGATTGTTCATCTAGCTTATGATAGTGAATAATTGATATTTTTGTATATATACATGTCGGTTATATCTTCTGAATTTTTTTGGCATTTGTGTGAAAAGCATAAGCAGTTTTGAATAATTAACCCTTTGATTCCCAAAGGTTGGTTAAAAAGTAGGGTTATACTACATATTTTTACATAGTTTGGGTAAAATAAAGGATTTTGATTCTCTTACTAAGTTTTATTTTAAACATGGTTTAATATACAACAAAGTGCCATGGTAAATGTTTCTCCAAAATGCAAAGATATTTTTTTTAAAAATATCAAAAATTTATTGGATTTTTTTTAGTATTTCAATATATTTCATAAGTACATGCCTCGAGTTATGTTTAAAGTTATTTACAAATATACAGGGTGGTCCAAAAAACGTGAACCCCTGCAACAGGCTATATTTTCCTTAATACATGCATGAATTTGCTCATGTTATCACATCTTGTAGAGAAATGTCTAAAATTTTTGTTGACACCATCATTTATTCTCAGTCTTGAATTTCGAAGAAATTACAAGACTTAAACAAACATGCCTCAAATTAGATTTTGTGCAAAATTTACCAATGTGATTGACGGAAATTTTTGATACACATTAGATGATCTTAAAAAAGCTTTCAGTGCGAGATTATAAGTTTAAACCCTACCATATGACAGATGGGACACTATTTGAGCAGAAAACACATTTCACACTTTTATTGACCATTTTGAAGCTGTTTTAACCATTCAACAGTTTAGAGGCTTGTTACCTACACAAACGGGTAGAGGGGGGAAAAGTTACCCCGTGTGACCCAAAATCTGAGAAGCCCTTCATATAAAATCTTACAAAAATCAAAAGGAAATCTAATATTCAGTGTTTTGAGCCATATTTCATTAAAATTGGTTCATGATTAACGTATATATTGACATTTTAAGACCATATAGGGTTATGTTGCGATTTCACTGGAAGATGTTCTCGTCTTTGGAAACATTGAACATTTCTTTTGATCACAATAACTTTGCAACTAGCAGAGGTAGGATGCTAATTTTTACATCATATTGTGTGGGAATCAAAACCAAACAAAGTCAGAAAACGTTAGGTTTCCCAGACTCTGGCTTAAAAGATTTCCATGGGAAGATTGTTGAAGGGTTGAAGAATCGCAGATATTGAAGTTCACATTTTCAGTGATGTTCGTTTCGTTAGGGCTTATAATTTCTGCGAATTTCAATACTAAGAAAAATGTATAGTACCAACAAAAATTTTAGACCTTCCTCTACAATATGTGAAACTATGAAAGGATTCCTGCAGGTAATAAGGGAAATATAGCCGGTTGCAAGGGTTCACTTTATTGGACCCTATATAATATATTTGTAACATCACACATTTATATAATCTATGACTCCGTAAATGTTTTTGCTTTTCTCTATTATATTTATTGATTTTAAGGGTATCAACCCTTCAAACACTGATACTTATAAAACATTTTCATCTAATATTCTATTTTAAACGATTTTTTATCTTGTAAACATTAAATGTTCATTTACACCCCAGTCACATTTGTCGCACGGCGGCCGCAAGTCGACCGCAGAACAATTAAATCGGTGAATTTCTGCGGCGAGCGTAGAAAAACTACGCTCGCCTTGCGGCCTCCGTACGGCGTATGCAGATTTTTACAAGCCGCAGGGAAGGCGTAGAAATTATAACTCGGAGTTATAATATTTGTTCATTTCTGAGGTCCCCGTAGAAATCAACTGGCTCAACAAGATTGAATCATTATTTGTCAGTGTTTCACGATCACTTTTCATTTGATATTACATCCTAGCACTTTGAATAACATTTGTAAATTGTCCTGATGTAAATAAAATGAAAAAACTATTATTTATCAATAGAAATTTAAAATTCACCGTGCGGCTGCCGTTGGAAATGTGACTGCAAAAGTATGAGAGCGCAGAAATTCTGCGGCGAGCGTAGAAAAGCTACTGGCCGCAGAAATGATAGACCGCAAGGTCGCCGTAGGAAATGTGACTGGGGTGTTAGCTAAACTAAGGATGCTACACATACATATTTTCGATAGGTAGCTGATGTCATATGTTAACCCTTTGAACAGTAGTTCTGATAATAGTGTTTTCATTCCTTTCAAAATATGACATTCATGTTCAGTTGTAAACATCAACACTTATTTATCTCCATTTTAAATGTTGCACATAGTATAGATTTTATAATTTCTACATCACGGATTATGTGCTTCCGTGCTGCTTTAACTTAATACTGAATTAAAATATTTTCATACATTGTAGTAAATATCAATGACGGTTTAATTATCTTCATTTATAATGTTTAATGTTACATATTTCACAGATACTACATTACTTCCTACTATGCTTCCGTGATATTTAACCCTTTACATACTAATACAGATTAAAATGTTTTCAAATATTTTGTCTTCAAACAATTATGCTCAGACGTAAACAACCAATGTTCTTCATCTTCATTTACAATGTTACAAATTATACAGTGCGTATCAAAAAAACGCAACAGATTGTTCTCTCGGAAAAGCACAAAACCAGTGATAACAGCATTGATTTCATTCAATGCACCATAAAGCCATGTGTCTCCTCTTTACAATGATATATCATTCATTGAAATTTAGTCATGGTTGGGCGAGTAATCATTCCATTTGTAAAGTGGGCCAATATTAGCTTGGGGCCAAGTTATAAACATCGCAAAAGTCAGTGTTCGGAGCCCGATGCAATATTGGGAAGAAAACATAAAACCAATGCTGACTGCATCCTTTTCTTTCAATGTTCCAAAAAGCCAAATTACTCCTCTTTGCAATGGAATATCATTCATTCACAGGGAGTCATCTCTGGCCGAATAATCATTAATTTTGCAAAATGGGGCAAAATTCAGCTCGGACACAAGTTTTAAACAATGCAAAAGTCAGTACAAGGGGCATAGGGGCTATTGGGAGAAGGTGTGACAGGTGTGTCATAGACGGTAAAGTGTTCATACTAATACTCTTGCAAGAATACATCCTAAAACCCTCCAAATTGCCGCCACTTCCTTGCACATGAAGATGCACTCATCTAGATCTATCCACGTCATGCATGGTTCAGCCATGATTCATCTCTGGGTTAAAGCAGAGAAAAGAAGCCCATGGGCAATTCTTACTCGAGGTTTTGCAATATCTGGTGGAGGAATTGTGAGCACAGATGCTCCTGAGATAGCTCCAAAAGAAAAGGTCACAACATTCCAAGTCAGGGGAACTTCCATTGGCACTTAGCCCTTGCACTGATTTTTTCAATATCTAAAACTTTGTGCAGAGCCGATTTTGACCCACTGTGCAAATGGAAGGATTTCTCACCCAACCATTACCACATGTGAATAAATGACATATCATTGCAAAGAGGTGAGATGTGGCTTTATGGTGCATTGAATGAAATTGATGTAGTCATCACTAGTTTTGTGATTTTACAAGATATCTACTTGTTGCGTTTTTTTGATACGCCCTGTACATTTAATATTTCTAGACAACTGATTATGTACTATTTTGATATTTCAACCCCTTAAACACTCATACTGATAAATAGCATTTTTTGTAATATCTAATTAGAACAATTTCTTAGTTGTACCCATCGAATTTTCTTCCTCTTTATTCAAAATGTAATACATATAAACACATTTTATCATTTTTAGACAGCTGATTATGCACTTATGTCATCTTTTAACTCCTTTAGCACTAATACTGATAAAAAAGCTTCCATGTATCTTTTGCTTCAAACAAGAATGTTCAGATGTAAACATCCAATGTTTTTTATCTGTTACATATATTGCATATTTTACAGATACTACATTACTCCTTATTATTATATACCTCATATGTATTCTAGATGCTCATTGGTTTATTCATTGTCACATGATACAAAATAGATGAACTAACTCCCTGGAAAGTCCTAAATCCTTGCTATTAGGGAAGATGAAAAATATTAATCACCAGTTGGGTCATGTGACCAGTTATTAGTATCATCCCCTCATAGCAGTTGAAAGGCAAAATGCCTTTAAATACAAATAAAAACCTGTAAACATTAAATGTTGAAATTAAAAGACTTCTCATTTTGTTTTTGTTTACAGAGTGCATATGGGTTACATAATAAGACAAATAGTGACTGCCACATTTTCGGGAAATAGTGTAAAAATGTTCACCTCATGAATAACCCCATAGGCCTCAAGCCTCGGGAACGAACATGTCAGTAGACAGGATATTCCCTCGGGAAAAATATTTTGCACTTTTTCCCTCAAAGGCAGTCACTATTTGTATACTATTATCTCTTTCTGTAATATTTTAAACACTGATATACAATAAAATGTTTTCATACATTATTGTCAAGTAATTTTATTAGATGTGAACATCCAATGTACCTTACCTTCATTAACAATGTAACACAATGTATGATAAGTTTTCCATTTCACATAATGACAAATGTTCATGGCCTTATTTTTCAAATATCAATAACATTTTGATCAAACATGGGTTAGACAGAGCCATTCATGTTGATAACACGGACTGGTATCAGGGATATCTTAAAATATCGAATGAAAGAAGCAAAAGCAGTTTTCTAGACACCATTGCAGACAAATCTTCTCTTGTTCTGTACAGCTCCTTAAAAACAAATTGTTTTCAAGAAATTAAAAACAAATTGTTTTATGGTCAGAAACTGACATTCAAGGCAAGATCAGGGTGTTTTGGTCTGAATACTGACAAGGAGCGATCATGGGGCCAAGGTAATGGGTTATGCAATTTATGTGATACGAATGTCAAGGACTCTATCCAGCATCGTATGTTTGTATGTCCTCATTTTAACAATGAAAGAACTAACTTCTTTCTAAACGTGATAATCTCCTGTAATGAACAACTGTCATCTAGCCTTATTTCTGCTAATATTCCAATTACAATATGCTTGATCATGGGTGATAAAGCTTTCATTGACTGGGGAAATGAACAAGGACATATTTTAGATCACTGTGTAAAGAAATATCTGAAAGCAATTTATATTCCCTATAATAAGGATTGATGTATTTTAGTGATATTATGTATTTTAATTTTGACTGTAATTGTATAAGCATGTTTGTATGTGAATGCACCACATTTTGATTTTGATTTCAATAAATAAATAAAATATGAGCCACTAAATGTTGATCTAGAGGAATTCAACAATGACTGAGATGTATACCTATCTTAAATTTCAAGAGAAAATAAAAAAATTAAGCTACATTAATTGCTGGAGATTTTAACATTGATCTTTTTAAATCTGTTAAACATGAAAATACTGAAAACTTTTACATTATGTCTTCATATAACCTTATGCCTGTAATATATAAAGCGACTAGAGTAACTTCTACTTCAGCCACTCTCATAGATAACATCTTTACTAATGGTTCTAAAGTTGACTTTTGTGGAATTATATACAATGACATATCAGATCATTTTCCAATATTTGCTGTTTCCAACAAACCTGTTAACAAAACCACATCCATGAAAAGGTCTATTAGAAAATATACTGATTAAACAATTTAGATTGTGATAACTGTCACTTTATTTTAACAATATATAAAAATATTTGCCTTATTAGTGAAATTGATATTATGTGAACTACAAGATTGTATTAAGATTATATGAGCATTATAGGTGATCATTAAATAGTGTCACAAGATCATGAGATAATATGAGACTGTTCTATTAGAAATACTTATATAAGATCATGTGATCATGTGATACATTGTACAAGCTTAGTGTTCGTCAGACTCAGAAAGGTATGATGCTGTACAAGTATATGATCTATTCACTGGGGATGAACTGGAAACGAGGGAGGTTTTACCTCGTATCAAAATGGCGGCGCGTGAAAAAATTTCATTCGGTAAGATTTTTGTTTTTTACAATTTTCGTGCTTTTATCCTTCAAATTAAAACTTAATATTTGGCAAGTAAATAGTTCATAAGTTCCGGTTTTATAATATGATTACAAATAAGAAATCAATACTGGCATTGCTGAGATATTTACATCTCAATTCTCTCACTTAGGAAACGAGGCATGTTTCTCAAGGAAACGAGGCAGCTATATAGCATTCTTAAGAATGAAACGAGGCAACAATATTTAATTAAAAATGTTTTGTTTTTATTACAGAACGGGGCCTACAAAAAGAAGCGTCCCTGTTCAAATGCTATTTCTGTAACACAGGAAACGACAACGTTGCTGATATTGTATTCCATATGATGCAACAGCATGATGGTAGTGGAGAGGTTAAGCTAACGATGTTTTTCACAACGTAACCGTGAACGCAAAGTACAAAAATTAACAAAGGAATGTATCGAGTACTCATAGTTTTATGCGCGCTTAGTCTACTTCAGATACTCTTTCAGCTTCAGAGTTTCGGGTTTAGAACGGGAGATTTGAAATTTGACGTTGGGTCAACGGGAACCATTTTACTCGTGTCTACTGAACACTTTGTTGTCAATTTTGATTTCGATGCACAGTTGAATTCTTGCTGAACACGATGATGTATATCATGCATGATTTAGCGCCAAAAATCTTACGAAACGAGCTCGTTTAAAATATGTAAATAGAAAACCAGCTATAAAACCGCATCAATGACATACTATAGAATCATTACACGCTATGGTGTAGTCTAAACAAACACTGGATTTGAACGGCTATTTATATGAGAAGGCTACATGAATTTGTATATGGTCGAGTGATACGTACAGGTTCAGTTTCGATTATATATGCAAAGCTTAACCTCTCCAATCTCTTTGTACGGAAACGAACGTTAGATGAGAAAACAGGTTTATTATACACGTCTCATCATTTTGGCGTTGCCATTGAACGTTAAAAGGGTGACGATAAGCATCCCGTATAAAAACAATATGGCGGCTCCAGGCGAATCAACTGGATCAGTCCATTTTTAAGAAATAAGGGGAGTTCTGTAAAATCCAGTTTATTGAAATTGTCTTTGAGATAAAGTAATCCGTTTATAATGATTTTGAAAACGTTATCCATCGAGTGATTGCGTTCAAACAGTACATGTACAACAGCCAATACAAATCCTTGTATTAGAACTGCTTTGTTTCATGTGTAGGATATTTCATATGCCAAGCTGTGTGCTATTACGTTATGGGGAAATGTAGATGCCAATTTTTCCTTATTATACACAAATAGAAGATCCTGAAACTTCACCCATAAATTTGAAATTGATTTGTCAATATAAAAATCACCCTTTTATAAATGTGTGACGATCTATAATATACTTAGGCTATATAACAGTTAGAGGTGTTGACACAACGACATCGAACCTGTGAACCCTTGAGTATTATTCCGGGATCGGGCCTTTTATACTAAACGGTGAGCAACATCAGAAACGAGCGTTCGATTTGCTAAACGATATGCGTCACCCTTTAAGAACGCTTAAGGAGGAAGGGCGTACTGTGATGATAAATTCTGATATGCAGTTGAGAATTAAACGACGGATCGAGAGAGAATCAAGTAAATAAATATTCAAATTATTAACAGTTTGATTGTGTTTTGTTGGTTAATAGCTACTGAGTTTCTATATGGTATGCCTTTGGGCGAATGTTCCCCTTTATAAAGGCGCACATGGGCGTTTATTTCCTTTTAACTGATGTCGCAAAACTTGTAAATGTTTTATACTTGATTGCAAATAGTTATGAATTGCCAGAAATGTAAAATTATTTTGACTACTCTGTACGAGGTATGCATATAAGGAGTTATTAATGTGCCCTAAACCAGGGTCCCTCTACATCCCGCTCTACATGTACATGTAGCAGTATAAGCTGCTATCAGATATATTTCTTTATAGTAATGGCATTTTCTTTATTTTCATTTTCAGGTGTAAACATCTCAAATTCTGATTTTGTAAATGAGCAGTCCAATGGATCTATACAATTGCATGATGAACCAACAATTGATTACCCTGATGACGATGGTCTCGACGATGATCCAGACGGTGATCTCGACGATGATCTCGAAGAACTCAAAACAATAATTCCCCGAGTAGTTGAAAAAATGCAGAAAATAAATAGATCATCAGATTTTATATCCGTGTTGAATAACATTGCAAGTGGAGCATTGTAGGGCAACATCTCACTTCATCTTCTGCTTGATATAGGTCGCTATCTTAGGTAAGAAACACATGAAAATATCATTCACACCGCCTCCCCATGACAACATAGTGTCGACTTATATGTAAATCGTGTATACTGATTACGTCTATTCTGTTAATCAAGTGGCTATAAAGCTATACTTATTTTAAAAATTAGTACCGTGGGTACTGGGCTCACATGGTAACAGAAAAAAACGGATATAATTTTTTGCTGATTTTTTGTTACAAAATTATTTCAAGCCATCTGTCTCTCAGTCAATTAAAATGGCTGAAAAAACGGATATGATTTTTTGCCAAGACACCTGAAATTATTTGTAAAGCTAGGAAATGGGCCAAAATTGAATTTCGCGAGACAAAAATGGCGACCATTTTGAAATCAGGCAAGCTTTTGAACCAGGAGTCATAGGGGAGTTTTTTGTATTGATGTTGAACAAAAATAACTTGAAACTGGAATTCTATCGACAGAGGTTTTAAGCAAATGGTCCAAAAGAGGATTTCGCGAGACAGATGGCCAAATCAATGTTAACTAAAATGGCTGAAAATAAAAAAACGGATATAATATTTTGCTGATTTTTTGTAACAAAATTATTTCATACAACTACCTTTTACAGTGACATGGCTTTTTACAATGCAGGACAGCTGAAATTATTTGTAAAGCTAGGAAATGGGCAAAAAGTGAATTTCGCGAAACAAGAATGGCAACCATTTTGAAAATAGGCGAGCTTTTGAACCAAGAGTCATAGGAGAGTTTTTTGTATTGATGTTGAACAAAACTAATTTAAAATGGGAATCCTATCGACAGAGGGTTTAAGGTAAATGGTCCAAAAGTGAATTTTGCGAGACAGATGGACAAATCAATGTTAACTAAAATGGCTGAAAATAAATAAATGGATATAATTTTTCGCTGATTTTTTGTAACAAAATTATTTCATACATCTACTCTTTACATTGACATGGATTTTTACAATGTAGGACACTTGAAATTATTTGTAAAGCTAGGAAATGGGTCAAAAGTGAATTTCGCGAGACAAAAATGGCGGCCATTTTGAAAATAGCCGAGCTTTTGAACCAGGAGTCATAGGGGAGTTTTCTGAATTGATGTTGAACAGAAATAACTTAAAACAGGAATCCTATCGACAGAGGTTTTAAAACGTGCCACAGAAAGTGGATTTCGCGAGTCAGATAGACAAATCAATGTTAACTAAAATGGCTGAAAATAAAAAAATGGATACAATTTTTCGCTGATTTTTTGTAACAAAATTATTTCATATATCTACCCTTTACATTGACATGGATTTTTACAATGTAGGACACCTGAAATTATTTGTAAAGCTAGGAAATGGGTCAAAAGTGAATTTCGCGAGACAAAAGTGACGGCCATTTTGAAAATAGCCGAGCTTTTGAACCAAGAGTCATAGGAGAGTTTTTTGTATTGATGTTGAACAAAAATAACTTAAAATGGGAATCCTATCGACAGAGGGTTTAAGGTAAATGGTCCAAAAGTGAATTATTTGTAAAGCTAGGAAATAGGTCAAAAGTGAATTTCGCGAGACAAAAATGGCGGCCATTTTGAAAATAGGCGAGGTTTTGAACCAGGAGTCATAGGGGAGCTTTCTGAATTCATGTTGAACAGAAATAACTTTAAACAGGAATCCTATCGACAGAAGTTTTAAAACGTGCCACTGTTATTGACAGAAAGTGGATTTCGTGAGTCAGATAGACAAATCAATGTTATCTAAAATGGCTGAAAATAAAAAAAATGGATACAATTTTTCGCTGATTTTTTGTTACAAAATTATTTCATATATCTAATCTTTACATCGACATGGATTTTTACAATGTAGGACACCTGAAATTATTTGTAAAGCTAGGAAATGGGCCAAAAGTGAATTTCGCGAGACAAAAGTGACGGCCATTTTGAAAATAGGCGAGCTTTTGAACCAGGAGTCATAGGGGGGTTTTCTGTATTGATGTTGAGCAGAAATAACTTAAAACAGGAAACCTATCGACAGAGGTTAGCTAGGAAATGGGCTAAAAGTGAATTTCGCGAGAAAAAAGTGACGGCCATTTTGAAAATAGGCGAGCTTTTGAACCAGGAGTTATAGGGGGGTTTTCTGTATTGATGTTGAACAGAAATAACTTAAAACAGGAATCCTATCGACAGAGGTTTTAAAACGTGCCACTATTGTTGGCGGACAGACGGACGGACGGACGTCATTTGTTGTTGCTGCATTGATTTCTTCATTCATTTTCTTCTTTCTTTGTCTTGATTTGATTGCGATGTTACTTATCTTTCTTCAGGGTCCACAGACTTGAGACTGCGCATAGGTGGGTTAAACGTTTTGATCCGGCCGGAAAACTCTCCCCTTCCCCTTACTGTTGGTCTTATGCTGATTTGTCATCTTAGTTTACCCTCTTTGCGGAGAAGATACTGTTTCATATTCATTTGTTAATGTTCTCTTCTCTCATTAATTTTCCAGTCCTTCATGATGATATTCTCCTGCATATTGTATTTAGTACATATCCATTTATTTCTTGTTATAGCTTTCTTAGTATACGAATTTAGTATGTTGCTCCTGTAGCCTTGACATTGTAGTTTATTTCCCAGGCTGGTAACTCTGTTTGTTGCATCTTCCAGTTGACTGCAGATTCTTGAAATCCTTATTATTTGTGATATAAATATTCCATAAGATTGGTTTCTAGGAATATTTCCAGATAGATCAGGATATGAGACTATTTGGAAATTGAAGTTTTCCCTTTTGTCGTATAGTTTTGTAGTGATTTGTTTATTTACTATTTTCATTTGTATGTCCAGAAAAGTTGTTTCTGTATCCTTCTCATTTTCCTTGTTTAACACTAGTTCTTCAGGATAGATGTTCTTCATATCAGTCTCCATTTCTCCGTCGTTGTTTATAGTACATAAATCATCGATGAATCTTGTAGTTTTAGCATATTTTAGTACTTTGGAGTAGTCTTCCCTATACATTTTCTCAATGGCTTGAAATTCATAACTGTATAAGTATAGGTTTGCCATATATGGCGCCGGATCGATTCCCATCGGTATTCCAATATTCTGTCTTAGAATTGATTTCCCTGCTTTAAAGTAGGCTGTATCCACGATGAAATCCACTAGATCATTGCACTCTCCTTTGGTATATGCCTTTTTATTATCCGCCTTTCCACCCCATTTGGCTTCATCTCCACCTACTGTTATCTTTTGGTTAGTTCCTCCTCTGAAGGCTTTATCTATCACCCATTTCAGTTTTTCCTTTATGTCAGTTAGATTAATCTTTGTGTATAGTGTAGAGACAGACAGGCGGACAAGTGAGTGATTGCAAAAGCTCACCATGTGAGCTAAAAAACATGAACATAAACGTTTAATATTGTGACCCCGGGAACTATTGTTTACTTATGGATTGGTATACGAAGACCTAATAAAACAATTTTTCTGATACCTTTGTAATCATTTAGGCAAATAAAGACAATGATGAGTGAAGGCTAGAAATAATCCCATGGAGATTGCAATTTTACACATTTACGTACACTTCTCTTAAAAACGTATAGCTGAACCTTCCTACGTACTATGTTCACAACAGGATGAGTATGATCAAATATGGGTAACTTTATTCGCGTTTCATAAACTTTGCCCTTTGATTTAAAAGATATAGTGTAAGATACTTTTGGAAAGAGACGTGACTATTTTAACAATATGGTTATTCTTTTTAACTCTTACATATATAATCATGTATATCGTGTAGAACGTAATCGGTCGTATGTGACCAGAACGGTGGAAATAAGATCATTAAATGTAGACACTATCACAGAAAGAATAGTTGCCTCGTTGCAAGTCAAACATTGCCTCGTTTCATTGTTACAAAATGTAGACAGGTGCCTCGTTTCCTAAGTGAGAGAATTGAAATGTAAATATCTCAGCAATGTCTGTATTGATTTCTAATTTCCAATCATATTATAAAACCGGAACTTATAAACTATTTACTTGCCAAATATTAAGTTTTAATTTGAAGGATAAAAGCACGAAAATTGTAAAAATCAAATATCTTACCTAATGAAATTTTTTCACGCGCCGCCATTTTGATACGAGGCAAAACCTCCCTCGTTTCCAGTTCATCCCCAGTGATATTGTGTGTATTGTATTTATGACTTGATGCATAACTAAGTTTGATACTATTGTAGTATGATACTATTGTAACACATTATTACAGAACATTATATGTTATTAGATTGTACTCACATTGTAACGATAGAAAGAAGTATATTATTTGTAAACAAAGACTATGTAAGTCTCAACCTCACTTTTAGAAATTATAACGCTTGCTACTTCAGATATTATTGTAAAAGTTTTTCATTGCATTCAAAACTTTTCTTTTAAGGAAGGAGGTGTTACAGTAGTGAGCTATATTATATTCTACCATATTCACCTATAGTTTAATTTGTAATCTATGCTTGCTGTATATGTTGAGCTATTCTTTATTAGAGATTTTATATTAGGACAAGATCATAATGACATTATATCTTGTTAACAAAACTGAACTGAATCATTCATAACAGAACACCTACTCTGGGAACATTATTTTATAACATACAACCTGAGGACTTTATATGGACATATATTACAGCACACACTCTTTACGGATAATCATAAACATTCGTGGATTATTGTAATCATTCGTGGATTATCATCAAACATTTGTGGATTATCATCAAACATTATTGGATACGAACATTATAGGATTACGTCGAACAATATTGGAGAACTATTATCGATTATTGAAACGTTTCGTGATCTGGAACATTCTCAAGGATCATCAAGGATGTATATAAGAGGAGGGAAAACCCCATGATTCAATTGATGACATACGATTTCCTCCTTCGCGCACCTCCTTTTGTCGAAAACGTACCCTCCATCTTGGTTTTCAAAGTTTTCAAATTGACCTAGTTTTAAACCAATCAATGATCGACTCGCTAAACCAATCAGCGACGATGTCATCTCAATACAGATTTACATTATAAGCGTATGTCATCTTTGAACCCTGGGGTTTCTCCCCCTCTTGATGTATATCGACAACAAGAGACAGGCGTACTTGACATCTATATCTACATCAACATATCATAAGTATTGAAAATATAGTACTGTACATTGTTATATTTTAATTGCTGTTTTTACTTTCTGTTATTTTCGAACGTAACAGTTCATCAGCAAGATACAGGTCCGGATCCAAAATATCGGATTAAGAAGGATGGTAAAATTCAATTCAATTCAATTTATTAATTTCATAATTCTTATATAATATACACTATAAAAACAAGCCGCTAGACACCCTAGTGGGTATATGTTGCGGTTTAACAGACATTTTAAAATGACATCTAGACTACATACAAAAGAAAGCACTTATATATTATGTTACATGTAGGGATATAAAATGGTACTAACAATTAATTAAGGATGTACAATGTAGAAATGTTACAAAAAATAAGGTATCAGTATAAAATCAACAATACAGTATAATATTGGTATTATACATTATCGATAAATGAGTAGTTTTTTCATATGAAGATTTGAAAATATTTAGAGTGGAGCATTTTTTAATATCATCTGATAGAGCATTCCAAAGATATCGAAGGGAACGTTTAGAGCATTTAGGGATATGGAAATAATGCAACTGTCTTGTGTAATGATGATGAACATTAATGTTAGTTCTTTGCTTTTACTTGCTTTAAATTGCATGTGTCATCTTTTTGACCAGTTGTAGCATTCAAATCTGATTGCAAAGTTGCCATTTGATTCATGCCCATCAATAACCACTCTTACCTGTCTATTATTTAGATATGAGTCAAAGAAAGTGCATACATTTGGTCCAAAACCATAGCTTGGAAGTTTATTCAATACAAGTTTATGTGACATGAGTCAAAAGCAGTATCGGGTACTGTTGCCAGGAAAGAATCCTCTTTGTAAGTTATAAATAAACTTAATTTTGGTCAACAAGAAATTTAAACATTTTGTTAAATGCTATTTTTTCAAAGACTATAGACAAGCAACTTTAACAGAGTAACAGGTCTTTTATTTGAAACAATGTTTTTATCACCTTTCTTAAAGATAGGGACAACATTGCCTCATTTCCAACATTTTGGAAATTTAGTCAGAGTCAAAATCTTATTAAAAAATGTTGAAGGTATATGAACTTGAGCTAGTGAGGTGGCTGCTAGCTTAAGCATCTTATTGTTCTATAGAATCAGGGCCACTTTGTCAGTCTTTAGTTCCAGTAAAATTTAAGAAATTTCGGTATTGTCTGTTAAAAGAAGATTATCAATTTGGTCATTTTCAATATGGAAACTTTTGATAAAATGGTTTAAGAATACTCTTGATTTCTCAAGACTACTCAATATTCTCCTTTTGAATTTATCAAAAATGAAATTCTTGAATTGACTATTTCCAAGAAACTGTTTAATAATATGCCAGTACCTCTTAGTTCCAAAAGATTATTGTGACAACTTTGCATAGAGCCTTTTTTCATTATCCTAAGAGAAAATTGCACATCCCTTGAAAGAAATTTGCTTTGACAGCAAGGATTACTCAAGAGATATGATGTATACTTACATAATCATCACATACTGCACAGAGGTCATTTCCTCCAATGAAGAGTGTGATCATCTTCCAGTCATTATCATAGTCAACACCTTGCTCTCTCCTCAATTTATCAACCAGATCCCTGGCCTGGCCTGGCATATCACTACAACAAGCATATATTTCAAGATTATTTGTTCAAAATGTTTTAAAATACAATGAACAGTGTGTGATACATATTATGCCTTTGTTGTAAAAATGTCATTTTTAGAACTTCTTCAAAAATAAACTGTGAGGCTGTGAAAGAATCTATATGGTACGGTGTATTTCTTACTTGAAAAGGATTTTACTTGAAATTGGTTTGAACCACTCAAGATATACACAGACCATAATGTCATATTTTTCTAACTTTCTAACACTTTGTATTCAAAGGTTTAGTGCTACCAGAAGCAAACCAATATAAAACTGTAGCGTAGCCAGGATGAGGCAGATGTAAGGATATACCTTATGTAAGGTTTGTATCTTATAGTGTTTTACCTAACTTTACCTTCATATTTTCGATGAATAATTTATGTTTATATTTCAGACTGAGTTAATTACATAATCGCCATTTAGGACATTTTCGCCCCGTGTCGCGTTTTTCTCCCTAATATTTTTCACCTAGTCACTTTTTTCTTCCTGGCTACGTTATTGTAATAGCATGCATCTAAGTTAAGTGGGTAAAGCTGGCTGCATATGATATTGGGATTCAAACTCACCAGTAGTTGGTGGACTCACCAGCAGCTGGTGAGCTTGAATCTCAATACCAATACAAATATGATCTCATATTAGGATTCAAAACTTCTACTTGAATGCCAATTTGAATCCTAATATGAATCAAAATATGGTTCCTTATATAATAATAGCAAAGGATGTTTATTCCGCTTCATCAAATGTGTTCGAAACCCAATCCCAATACAAATATGGTCTCATATGAGGATTCGTCAACTATGTTTGAAACCTAAAACGAATCCTAATATGAATCCTGATATGGTTGTTTATATCATTTTAATGAAGAAAGACGCTTTTTTTGCAGCAAATGTGGTCGAATGTCAATACCAATAAAAATATGAGTTCATATAAGGATTCGCAAACTTTGTTTGAATCCTAATACGAATCCTAGTATGAATCCTAATATGGTTGCTATGTATCATTCTTGCAAACAAAGAAGATTTTCTGCAGCAAATGTGGTCGAATGTCAATACCAATATAAATATTAGCTTATATTAGGATTCGCAAACTCTGTTTGAATCCCTAGACGAATCCTAATATGAGTCCTAATATGGTTGTTTATATCATTCTGGCAAAGAAAGAAAATTTTTCTGCAGCAAATATGGTCCAATGTCAATACTAATACAAATATGAGCTCAAATGTTTAATTCTGACCTACGGGAAAAATACTGAATCTCCCCATTTCAAGCTGGGCGAAAGCGAAATATGCGATGCCAAATCAGCCAAGCACGTCGGAGTACCACTCTCCACAGATGGATATGGCTGTGAATATTTAAGGATCGTGTCAAAGACGCGATATCAAGCGGAAAGCGGAAACTATATTCACTTTTCGGACTAAGCCATAGGACTGATGGCCTCAGCCCACTCGTAGTAGCAAAACTGTTTAATAGTGTTATTGTGCCAACAATGCTTTACGGTGATCAGATAATTAATTATAAGCCTGACGATCTTGAGACATTCGAAGTGGCACAGCGCCGAATTGCGTCAACAATGACTTTAGGATGGAACACTATGAAACGGAGGATTGACTATGACATGCTACTCATGTTATTCGGAATACTTGTTCTACCTGTCCCGAATATTTATAAGCGGTTTATGATGTTAAGGCTCATGAACATTTCACGATGATTGGCATCATGGCAGACCCCCATTTCAAGGATGAGGTCTTGTGTAGTAAAGTATGACCTCACAGAGAGCCTGCTAGAAATGATAGCCACAGCACAATTTCCATCCAAGCTTCAATGGAAAAGACAATTAAAAACAATAATCGGAAACTACCAGAGAGACGGTTACAAGGCAACAGGTACATTATATAAACGACATGACATATGTGTTAACATTTCCGATGTAAATATATGTGACGGAACCCTGGGGTCAATGAAACCCTGCGTCTGGTGGATCTTGGCAAGGAAAACAAGGTATTAATATGACAAAATGTCACCACCTAGTTGCTCACAATATTATGAGATGTGAACTTCTGAGAACTAGAAGATCATTTTGAAAAAAATTGGTCAATTTGAAGCAACTTGAAGAAAGACCTTTTTAACATTTTTCTGACCTTGAAAAAGTCCACTGAAGGTGAAATCTTATATACTTCGTCAGATTTGAACTTCTGAAAACTTTTGACATTTTGAAAAATATGAAGTCAGTCTAAACAGTATTTGTACAGTTATTGGAAGTTGTAAGAAGTCAATTTGAAGCGAGTTGAAAAAAGACCTTTTGACCCTTAAAGTCGGATTTGAACTTCTGAAAACCTGTAGAAGATTTTGAAAAATAGTACCGTGGGTACTGGGCTCACATGGTGTTGCTCAAAAAAATGGGTGTAATTTTTGCCGATCTTTTGTAACAAAATTATTTCATACAACTACTCTTTACAGTGACATGGCTTTTTACAATGCAAGACACCTGAAATTATTTGTAAAGTTAGGAAATGGACCACAAGTGAATTTCGCAAAGACAAAAATGGCGGCCATTTTGAAAATAGGCGAACTTTTGAACCAGGAGTCAAAGGGGAGGTTTCTGTATTGATGTTGAACAAAATAACTTAAAACGGGAATCCTATCGACAGAGGTTTTAAGGCAAATGGTCCCAAAGTGGATTTCGCGAGACATATTGACAAATCAATGTTAACTAAAATGGCTGAAAATAAAAAAACGGATATAAATTCTTGCCGATTTTTTGTTACAAAATTATTTCATACAACTATTCTTTACAGTGACATGGGTTTTTACAATGCAGGACATCTGAAATTATTTGTAAAGCTAGGAAATGGACAAAAAGTGAATTCTGCGAGACAAAAATGGCTACCATTTTGATATAGGCGAGCATTTGAACCAGGAGTCATAGAGGAGTTTCCTACATTGATGTTGAACAAAAATGACTTAAAATGGGTATCCTATTGACAGAGGTTTTAAGGCAAATGGTCCAAAAGTGGATTTCGCGAGATAGATTGACAAATCAATGTTAACTAAAACGGCTGAAAATAAAAAAAAACGAATAAAATTTGTTGCCGATCTTTTGTAACAAAATTATTTCATATAACTACTTTTTACAGTGGCATGGCTTTTTACAATGCAGGACACCTGGAATTATTTGTAAAGCTAGGAAATGGGCCAAAAGTGAATTTCGCGAGACAAAAATGGCGACCATTTTGAAAATAGGCGAGCTTTTGAACCAGGAGTCATAGGGGAGTTTTCTGTATTGATGTTGAACAAATATAACTTAAAACGGGAATCCTATCGACACAGGTTTTAAAGCAAATGGTCTAAAAGTGAATTTCGCGAGACAAAAATGGCGGCCATTTTGAAAATAGGCGAGCTTTTGAACCAGGAGTCATAGGGGGATTTTCTATATTGATTTTGAACAAAAATAACTTAAAACGGGAATCCTATTGACAGAGGTTTTAAAACTGGCCAATTGTTGACAGACGGACAGACAGACAGACGACGGACAAGTGAGTGATTGCAATAGCTCACCATGTAGGCTGTAGGCTGTGATGTCAATCCTAATATGAATCAAAATATGATTATTTATTCCCTTATAGCGAAGGGTGTTGTTTTCTGCATGAAATGTGTTCGAATCGCAATCCCAATACGAATATAATTTCATATTGGGATTCCTACATATTCGGAATTTCAATTCTAATCCAATATAAATCTGTATGAATCACAAATTTGGTTATTTCTATCGATGTGACAAAGGATGTTCATTTCCCTGCATCATTAATGTATTTGAATCCCAATACCAATCACATACATGTATACTTTATGCTTTATGATTTTACTTTATGATTTTAACCCTAATTTGAATCCCAATATGAATCCTAATATATCGATCTGATATCGATATACATTTGATTGCAGCAAACGATTTCTCATTCTCTTCATTAAACGTGTTTGAATCTCAATATTCAATTCCAAATTATGTTTATTGGCATTGATTGATCAATACTTTGAAAATAACAATAAAGACCTTCTTGTATATATACGTAGGTTAGTAAAACAGACAATTGTCGAACGCTAATGTGAAACATGAAGACATTCCAAGGTGAAACTGATCGTCATATTTTGTTTGCGCAATATTATTGAAAATGTATTTTTGGGAATTTAGTCTCATATTATAAGAAATCAATTGATTTCGTTTAAAAAGTATTGAAAATGTGGTCAAGAAGAAATTTAACTTTATACGGTCGAGTTCTGATAATTAAAACGCTTGGTATTTCTAAACTGGTATATTCCATGTCAATGACAAATACCCCAAATGATATATCAACAAAGGCACAATATACCCATTCCTATGGGGTGGAAAAGCTGAAAAGGTTAAGGGGCGAACTTTAATTGGTGATTACGACGAGGGTGGTCTAAGAATGATTGACATGTTTTCTATGGAAAAAACACTTAAACTGGTGCGGCTAAAAAGATTAATTGAACTTCGACAAGGTCATTGGAAATTGTTCCAGAATTGTACTTTAAACCACCTTGGAGAATTAAGTTTTTTATACAATGTAATTTTGATATTAAAACAATAGCTCACGACGTGCCAGAATTTTACTCAAATAAGTTACAGATTTACTCTGATATAAGGAATATGCCAGCTCCAAGAACTAGTTCTGAAGTTAATAGCGAATTAATCTGGAATCATAGATTGGTCCTAATTAATAATAAAGAGGTAATAAATAAGCATTTTGTGGATAGTGGGGTCATTTACGTAAATGACCTCCTAAACGACCAGGGACGTTTTTACAGTACTATGATTTCAGGCAAAATACAACGTACAAATTAATTTTATTGATTATTATGCTATAATATACAATTATTGACCTCTCCAGAGGTCTATAATTGTTTTGTTAGTCCGAAGAATATCTTCGATTTTTCTGACCCTTAAAGTTGACTTGAA